GTCTTTATATACAGTCAGTGATGGTCTTTATATACAGTTGCTGAAGTTTCTTACATCCTCGTCTCCTCCCTCTTCGTCTTTATCTTTCTTCTTTCTGTCCATCGGTGGAGGAACGAAGTTCGTCATCTGGATACAATCTTCCAGGAAATACTCTGCAAACAACAAACATCAATCCAGTAAAACTCCAAAAGGCAATTTTTTTTCTAAACATAAAAAACATTGACTCTGTAAAAACTGAAACATGAATCTTTCCTCAGCTTCACTCAACGATAACAAATCTAACAGACTCCAGGTTAGTTCTGAAAAAACATCGCGACCTTGAATCGTCGGACATCTGTAAACACGTCTGTGATGTGCAGACGTCTGCGTTACCTTGAACAGGGAAAGTTCGTCCGAACACCTCGATGATGGGACAGTTGAAGAAGTACTCTCTGAACATGGTGGTGTCGATGGTGGCCGACATGAGGATGACACGGACCTGTGGGTAGGCCTGGACCACGTCTCTGAGGACCACCAACAGGAAGTCCGTCTGCACGCACGCACGCACGCACGCACGCACGCACACACGCACACACACACACACACACACACACACGTGTCAGGTTGTGTTCCAGCAACAGTTAATAAATCGTCAATAAATGAACTCACGTTAATGTCTCGCTCGTGGATCTCATCAACGATCACGTGACTGATGCCTCTGATTCCAGCTTCAAGCTTCCGCAGCAGAACGCCTGCAACAACAACACGCTTATCAACGACCTGCTGACATACGAGTCACATACGTGTCACATACGAGTCACACTGAAGCACGTTGTTATTGTCATCCCTCTACAATAAAACAATATATTATGAGGATATATATTATCACGATGAGGATAATGATTTTTCATCTGGTGTAACATTTGTTTTGTTAAAGACTTTTACACCGTTTACTTACCAACGGTGCAGAAGAGGACACTTGCGTGGGGTCGGGGGAGGACGGACTCGAAGCGGACACTGTAGCCGCAGCTCTTCCCGAGATCCTCCCCTCGCTCAAAGGCGACTCTCTCCGCCACAGACACGGCGCTGATTCGTCTGGGCTGTGGAGGAAGGACAGTCGACTTCAGAAATACACGTTAACGGGCAAGATGATAAGATGATGTCATAACTGAAAGTCTCCACGATTCCTCTGTAAATCACAGACCTGCAAACATTTTATCAGACGTATTTCAATCTCCAAGAGGAACTGGATTCTTGAAGATGTTTAACGTCTCACTCAGTTTTAGTTTCAGTGTTACCTGAGTGACCACGATGTTGCAGTCGGAGGCTCGGGCTCCCTTGATGAAGCGGTCCAGGATGTACTGAGGAACCTGAGTGGTTTTCCCGCAGCCTGTCGCTCCTCTGATGATCACCACGGGGTTGTCGTCGATGGCGTCCATGATCTCCTTCTCAAACTGTTTGACGGGCAGTTGCACGCGCTCCAGCAGGATCTGCATCGTAGAGTTTTATTTTCTCTTTTTTATCCACACAAACAACCTTTAAAACATTTGGAGCTAAAAACACATGGTTTTAATTTAGTTTTAGACTAAATATTAATTTATCAGTCAGACAAAAAACAATCACTGAAATCTGAATTTGTTTTCTGAGTGAAAACATGTAGTTGTTTTATTCAAGATTTTCAGATTTTCCCTGAACATTTAAACGATCAAATGAAACTGAAGAGAAATGAATTCAGAGGTTTGTGAAAGATCTGTAAGGATTCAGCTCAAACTTCAGTTTCTTTAGTCTGTGTTCAGCTCTCATCTTGTTTCTTTAAACCCAGACGTGAATCAAACTAAAGGAGAAACAACTCCACTGACCTGGTGCAGGTTCTCGTCCTGTTTCAGTTGGTACATCAGCTCGTCGTGCAGCTCGCCACTGATCTGCTCCGGGGTGCACTGGGAATAATTCATGACATCACAACACGTCAGTACGTCAGGAGACATCACACAGAGCAGCCATGACACCACATGTTTTCAGACATGAACTGAGTTTGAAGAAGCAGCAGGAGATTTCCCGGGTTCTCAGAGATGATTCATGAAGAAATCAAATGTCATCTGACGACTCCTCAATGACTCCAGGTTTTTCTATTTCCTTCTCATTTGCTCTTAAATCAAAATTATGCTACAAACTGTCGTCTGAATCAGAAGTTTATCAGCAATCAGTTGAATATTGAAAATCTGCAATAAATCCTAATAAATCAATTAGATGAACCAGATGAAATAAAAATATTAGAGAGGTAGAAAACAAGCTCACAAATGCCAGCGGTCCTTCGTCGATGTTGCTGCTGGTCCAGGGGTTCCAGTTGACCTGAGGCGGCGACCAGGGAACAACACCGGCTCCGCTCTGCCGCTGCGACGGCTCGAACGTCGCCATCTTCCCCTGAACCAGAGACACGGGGCAGCTGGGGTCTGCAGGCTGGACAGGATGAGCCAGGTTAGCATGATCAGCTCAAACGTAATGTGTCTGTGAAGTTCCTGGTCAGTGGTAAGTGTGTGACTCACTGGCGGCGGGATGTGGACTCCGAGCTCCTGGACCACACTGGCCAGCTGCTGCTGAAGTTCTGGAGACACATTGACGTCATACGGTGCCAACTGGACACAACAACACAGGACAACACCAACACGGTTACGTTTTCTGGTTGACTGAACTTCCCTCAATGTCTCTCATCTGAAACAAGGCCAACGACGTACATTTTCTCCTTCCTTCTTTTTGGTGACTCCGGAGTACACCTCCACGACGCCCAGATGATACAGCTGTCGGATCAGAGACAGAGCGCAAGACTGAGCCGCCAGCTTCTTGTTGGAACCGTGTTCTCGAGCCGTGATTCCTGCAGAACAGACAATGACATGAGCAGCTGCTCGACAAAGATCCTTTAGATCCTCTGCAGAAATGATGAAGTCATATTATTGTAAGATTCAGATCAAACATTTGTTCAAACCCCTGAAAAGTGCGAGAGAGAGAAGAGTGTCTTACTTCTGCCCAGCTGTTTCACAAACAGCTGCATCTCTGCGATGAAGCTCCTGCAGAGACAAACGTCACATCTTCACTTCCTCTGAGCTTTTCAAACTAAAAGCTGTGAATAAAAACTTCCTGTGAAGCGATGACTCACCTGTCGTGTTCTCAGGAGGAAGCCTGTATGTTTTTCTGCCAGACTTGGGATATTAAATAAAACACCGGCTTAGACTGTGGATTTCTCCCAGCGACTCTCGGCCCTGCGGTGAACAGTGACACCAGAAATCACAACCAGACTCCACTGAGCTTCGAGCTGCACCCATGGGACAGCTTTAGTTCATCTAAACGCTGTCCCATGTCTTCCTTCAGGGTGGTTGTGAGCTCTGGCGTCACCCTAGTCTCTAAAACTCACCAGCTGCATGTGTGCACCAGGACGGGACATTTAACAACCACAAACCTCTGTCCATCACTTTTTTAATAATAAAAAAATTATAAAAACTTTGTATATACAGTCTCTAATCGTCTTTATATTGAGTCTATGATTTGTTGAGTAAAAGCACTTTAAGGTGCATGATGTGATGCATAAATAAAGT